CCAGCCAGGACTAATTACTCCAACCTCAAACCTGGCTGCTCTCCTCACGGCGAGGCTCTGTGCAGGCACATGGACTGGCAGGGTTAGTAGAGGAACAAACTAATGGAGACACAGGAATGAAAGGTTACAGTTGTGCAACTCTTATGGCCCCAAAATACTTCGACACAAAATGAGGGTGTTACGCCAGCAAGGTACATAGACACTACTATTTAGTCATAGTATCTCCTACTAGTATACATATAGGGTTAAGCCTAGAAAAATCTAGATCTGGTGGGCATTTTCAAACTCATCTGTGTCTCATGACTGAACAGAATTATGTAATTTTCTGTGTTGCCATAAAGGCAGGGATGTATTCTTGAGACACAGATATTCCTTTGGTGTTTTAGGGGTTGGTGGCCTTCACTTCCTAGAATGAACAGGCTCTAGCATTGGCTGGCCAAGATGGAGAAAGCTCCCTTGTGCCTTTTCTTTCACAGCAACACTGCCCATGGGTACTGTTTATTATCCTCTTTCCTCACTGCCACATCATCCCCAAAGGTGCACTCTAAGTTAGACCAGGGAGAAAACAACCCTCCTGCAACCTCACTGCCAACAAAAACCTCATGGGAATATCCCACTGCTAAGTAATGAGCCCTGAGCACCCCACACATCCAGGTTACCCATGGTGGCTGCACTGGCAGACGCTACGGGACAGATGCACTGGGGATGGGATTGTGGTCGGGACAAGGGTGTGAGGCACAGAGCTTCTGGGAAACGCTTCATCTGCACAGGACACCAGCACTGGGAGACTATGTGTGCTGCAAGCTCGGATCCAGGATTATTTTGCAGCCACTCCTCTGTATGGACAATCCCAGCCTTGCTGTTTGTTTGACTGTTTGTCTTGGCAGCGAGTCCCCACATTGAAGCGAGGGTGTCATTTATCTCTGGCGACAGCGCTCAGCAGATCGAGGAGCAATAGCAGCAGCCCCAGAGGCACTGGCTGGTGGGGGCTCTCCCTGGCATTTGCTTCACATTCCTCCACCTCTCACACAGTAACAAGGGCCCTGGAAAAGAGGCTGCTGCAGCCAGAGTGCCTTGGACAGAAACAGATGGTGCACAAAACACTGGGTAAAATGCATTGTGAGCTCAAATTGCTCAGGGAAGAGCACTCTACCAAAGCGAACTTGAGATGTCTGTTGATTCTTCTTCCTTCTTGAAGTTTTGAAATGCAGCAGTAAAGAAAAATCAACATTTTTCAGCTGGTTTTGGTTTGCTGCTGGGGTATGTCCGTTCCTCACATGAATCAGAAGCTGTGGCAAACACAATGTGCTGTGCCTCTGACGGGTACATACCATCCCCATTTCTTGCAGCTAGATGGAGAACAGCAACACACTTCATTGCACAGAGGATGGACAAAGAAAGCTTTGTTGCCTGTGGGGCTCTGCCATGCCGATGTTTCTTTTCCACTTGTGCTCATAAGTCACCAAAGGGCCCGTGCGTACCCATTGGAAATAGAAGTGTGAAACTAATAACTAAAAATATAAACTCTGGAGGGAACCAGATGAGTCAGGAGGGAGAGAAGACAGAGAGAAGCCAGAGGCATGCAATTTACTGAGCCTGATTCATGATGCTGGCAGGGAGCTCCCTGCCAGAGCCAGATGAATCAGATTCCCTTTCAGTCTGTGCTGGCACCACAGTTATTTTGGTGTCACCATGGGTAGAACAAGAGTAGATATTGGGAAGTATTACTGGGCAGAGAGTGAGTGTCTGCTGAAACTGAAACAAATTGTGTCATTTTAACATTATATTCACTGAAAGAAGTAAAAGGAGGGAAAATGAAATATGCTGGTGTGCCAGGTCAGAGCTTCTCCTGAGAGTCAGGGAGGGTGTTCCTCACCCAAGCTGGGGGTCTGGCTCCTACAGGTTTTGTTTATCTCTGTCTCGTAATGGGGCTGGAATAGGTGCTATTGCAGCTCATAGACAAACATCTTGAGAAAATATTTCTAAGAAAAAAAAGTGCAACTGAGCTGGCATTTTGTTTTAGATCCTCAAAATTTGTGTACCATATTCAGCAGCTCTTAAGATGAAATGGACACCCAGCCTTTGGCATGGCAAATAAGATCAGAGAAAAAGGAATGCCACTGGGCTTTTAGTGTTTTTCAGGATGTCACAGCTTGCAATGGAGTCCTGCTCAGGAACTTTCACAGCTCCAGCTGATCTCAGGAACCCACTTGTTATTCTCACACAGTGCAAAGATGAGCCCGACAGCTGAGAAGCAGCAATCTTGCGGTTCAGGTGCCCATTCAGGCAAAGGGCTAAGGCACGTATTTTGCTTTGACCCTGTGCTCCAATCCAGTGGCAATCAAGAGGCCCTACACACTTGCTTGAGTATCTTACTGAATGGGGTCTTTTAAAATGGGCATTAGCTTCTGAAGATTTAGATGATGCCCCAAGCAAGGTAAAGAACAGATTTAGAAAACATTTGTGCTAGAAGGACCTTTATATTTTGGGATTTGGCCAATTGCCACAGTTTGCTGATGCAGACGTTCTCTTCTCCTACTTCTTGTTCCAACTCAAAAATTATCCATGAAAAACATGTTCATCAACAAGTGCAAAGTGCTCCCAGCATCCTCCAGATGTCAGATCCAAGTGCATGCCTGTGCTTGCCTGGCTGATAAAGAAAACTGGCAAATTTTTGTTTATCTGTTTCTCACCTGTGTCATCATGGCAGTCAGCTAAAGCAAGGGCAGATGAATATAGCCGGCAGAGACAGCAGCTTGCAAAATGAGCCTATTTTTAACCAGCCTTCCTTCCATGCTGTGGAGGAAACGAGGCATTTAATATGCACTGCTTGATGTGGGATCCATGGTGTGGTTTCCCCCACCCTTGTTGGGATGAGCCTGCCTCATCACCATGCTGATATTCCTTTCTCAAACCCATATCACATGCCTGGGCAGCCAGCCAGCCTACCTGTCTGAGGAAAACAGAGCTGCTTTTCCCTGCCACACCCTGACCTCTGAGGGTGAGATAACCCATTGTCAAGAAACATCAGCAATAACTGTTTGGAAAACAGATGCCTGTCAGATTTCACATGCAGCCTTCTTTCCCTGCCCCGTCCTTTCCCAGCACAGACATTGCTGTAGGTGCCATGGTCCCGCTCCTGCTCTGCACCTCCCAAGCACTGGGATCCAGTTGATGCTGCGGCATGACCCAGTGCAGAAGATGCTCCCCTTGTGTGTAACCCACAACAGCATCCTTTCACACCACCAGAAAACTGGTACCAGAGAAATAGCAACCCATGTTCATGACATGGTAGAGTTTTGATTCCTTAGCCAAAAAAAAAAAAAAAAAAACAACCCCAAAAATCCAACCCAAACCTTTTTGCTGATCAGTGAGGAAAACCTGGAGGTTTGTTCTGCGGCATGACCCAGTGCAGAAGATGCTCCCCTTGTGTGTAACCCACAACAGCATCCTTTCACACCACCAGAAAACTGGTACCAGAGAAATAGCNCAACCCCAAAAATCCAACCCAAACCTTTTTGCTGATCAGTGAGGAAAACCTGGAGGTTTGTTCTGTGGAGTGCTCTGTTAGTGTTCTGATTTTGTTTCTATTAGGTAGCACCCAAAAGTCCCAAGAAGGTCTCTGATGTGGTAAATAGTAAGAGCCACAAGAGCCACAAAACTAGTTTGTTTGCTAAATAAGTAAATCTGTACAGGCAGACAAACATTAAGAAAATGATACTACTGGAAAAGTCACATTTATAAAAGAAAATATTTTCACCAGAGCTATGTCAAACATATTTTGAATAAATCATATTAAAATACTGTCAGAGTGTAGTCCTAAAACATTTTGCTATAACCTTATAGCAATTCAATTAGTTAATCTAAACACCAGGTAACAAGCGGGGGTTAGACTGTATCTTTTTTTTGGGTGGAGAGATATGACTTATTTCTTGAGTTGTCTCCTTGATTTCAACAAGGCAACTTAGGAAATAATAGGACTGGGAGTTTAACAAACAATTTCTGACTTTCCATTGTTTTGGAAAATATAATCCTAACTATTTACAAAAGAAAACAGAAATAATCAGACTTTTTTTTTAAAAAAAACCAGCTATCTACTTTTAGGCTATCAAAATGTTTACAGACTGTGTTTTGTAGATTATAACTTCTTCTACGAGAATAAATAGAGAGGAAATTTATTGCAGAATGTAGATAAACACAGCTTTTTGTATATTTTAGGGAGAAAAAGATACTGTAGAAATTTCAGATTCTTGGCATTTTTGTAGACACAACTTTAAGACTACAAGTTGCTTATTTTAAAACAGGTCAATCTCTGCATAAACTAAAGAGCAGATTTGTAATTTATTGATACTCTTCTGCCAGCTAAGAACTGTTTTTCATTACTCCTTTGACTCATTCCTCCAGTCATCAGTGTTCTGCTTCACTGATATTTTGTATTAAAATATGTATCTTTTCCCCTTTAAAAAAAAAAATAGGTTAAATCACTAATTTCCTTCTGCTCTGCAGTAGGGAAACCCAGGAAAAAAAGCCCTTCTCCCAGAGTGCCGTGTTGCCCAGCCAACAGATCGAATACAGAGCATAGGACACGTTGAATTTGCAAACATACACTACATGGCACAGCTTTATCTATTGTAAATGCCAGGTGGGCTGTATCATGCACTGACTCCTGCTACTTGCTTCCTAGCTGCTATGAGAGATGAAGGGCAAGCTTGTGAATTAAGGCATGCAACCCAAAACAGGTAAGTTAGACACAGCTGAATTTAATTTGTTTACTGAGTCAAAAGTTCCTTTAAGCATAGCTTCAACATAATGCAGGAAAGTTTAGAGGAGGTAAGGACAGGCTTTTCTTAACTCTATTTTTCCTTATCTGATTCATGCAGCATCAGAGAAAGCCACACCCCGGCAGCTGCAGGGTTTGCCTGGGAGGTTGAGTCGCAGCGAGAGCAGAGCACAGAAAAGCAGAAGCAGAATACAGAAAATTATAGAAAATGTAAGCCCACCACTGGCTGGAGATCCTGGCCAGTTAGGAAGAACTAGATGAAAGCAGTCACACATCTTGGTAGATTATGGTGGTACAGCAATAACAAGGGAGGAAAACTTTGTCTTTTCAGAGGCTCCCGGTGAAGAATCAGTCCCAATCCAGAGGAGGAGACGGAGACTTTGTGATTCTGTGCTGCAGGAAAAGTGCAGCTAGACTGAAACTAAATGCTGACACACTCCCCAGCCTCTCGGTGAATATACATCCTTGGATGCCAACCAGATTATTCCGGGCTGCCCTGCATTGCATTATGCATCACTGATCACTGCTTGCAGAGCTGGAGCTTCAGGTCATTGCAGAGAGAGGAGGAGTGGTGTGGATGTTCCTAACAGAGTCTGAAGACACTTAGGGAGATTGATGAAGGATGCCAGGGCTGCCAGGCTGCCCGATTGGCTGCTGCACTCCCCAGGCTCCAGCTGAGAGGCCACACTGACACGGGAGCACAGCAGCCTCCCAGTGATGGAGAGAGCCAGGATTAGCAGAATGGGGAAGTATTCTGCATGCTTCCCTGGGAAAACGCAGGGAAGCGTGCAAGAAGGGTGAGCAGACACTGGGATTTTAACTTCCCTGTGAGGCAAGGCCTGACCCAACCGCCCCTGAAGCCAGCAGAGGAGATCCCACTCATCTGTCAGTGCTTAAAATCACACACTTAAACCCTGGACACACATCAGAGGAAGGGGTTTGGGGTACATCTTGGAAATGAACTTGTATTCCTGGCTAGCTACTTACCACCACCAAGGATGAAGAAGAACAAGATATATATCAGATTTTTCTGTGTTGAACTTATGCTCAGACATTTCATTAGTAATTAGTAATTTTTATAAAACATGGAAATTATGCTGCCCAGTCCACATTCAACCAGCCTGGGGCCAAAAACAGCTGCTGTGCAAGAATGTGCATTAGGTCTGATCCAGTGGTCACTGAGATCAATGGGACAAGTTTCCCTGATCCTAGTGGGAGCTGAGGAGAAAACTAGAGTAACAAGCATGAGCCAGGAGGCCAGTGCTGCCAAAGACAGGGAATTTGCCCATACCATCACCCCTGTTTTCTGACTGTGAGTGTGGCACCAGTATTGGTGAGGAGCACAGGATAGGAAGAGACTTCAAGGCTTCATGCTAGAGTTGGCTTCCTTGGCATTTATGTCAAGGAAGGCAACATGTGTGGCTGTACTACTTATGGTACCCACCTTAGATAATTCCTAGCCTTTAATTCCTCCTGAGGACCGTAACCCCCATGACACCCGATTAGCTGGGCCCAACCAGGACTGTGGGGTTTTGGTGTCTCAAAGATCATAGGAGAGGTGACTACCTATGAAGTCGGGTCTGTGGGCTTGTGAGGTCAGGGTTCAACTCCCATGGCTTTAGATGTCTACAGAATAAAAACTTACCCATTGTCAAAGGACTACAGTCATCCAGCCATTTGTGGCTGTTAAGAGACTGTGCCCCTGACTTCCCTGTCTGTATTGACCATGCAACCTACAGTCTTGACTCCATGACTGTAGACCCTTGAACCACCCTGGGAGCCCAGATATCAAGCTTAGGTGTGCAGACCTACAGTTACTCACAGTTAGGTGAGAGGAATGCCACCACACGTGTCTGTGGGACTGTAGATGCCTGTGATGAGGTGAGCAGAGGATCAAGAGATGAGACTGAAGCCTGTGTTAAATAAATCAGCCCATATTAACCAAGTGCCACAGTGCTGGGCCAGTGCCTGTGACAGACACAGCCTTCACTATAGGATGTCAGTGTAAGGTCACAACTGCTCTGCCTGAAACAAGGATATGCACCATCTCAGCACAGTCTATAGAGGCACCACTTGGGTAGGGGCAGTAGTGGCAATTGATAAATGTTTTGTTAATTATATCTCTAAGGTTTATATTCTGCTAACTATACCTGATGGCATAAATCCTTGAGCAGTCCAAGGCCCCCAGCTTGTCATTGCTCAAACATGGAGAAGATGGATCAGAACACAGAGTGGTGACTCAGGGATTTTCTGTAAGCATAGGATGTGGTTTCTTCTATTTGCAGAACCAGCTGATGAAGAGAGCAGTGTGGCATCTGACAAGTGAATTATTCTTAGTGCAGCAGGGGAATAAAAATCCATGTGTTGTTTCCTACTGTTGAAAGCCCTTTTAAAAATATGCTTTTGAACATAGTAAAATATTTAGTGAAGATGACAACAGTTGAAGTAAAAATGCAGATGCAAGCACATGTGCATGCACACACAGGAGAACAGCTCAGCTGGAAGATCCCCTAATTTACTCATTTCAGCCATGTGTTTGCACCTAAAAAGCCAAAATATTTCTTGTTGCAGACGTCTTTGGTTAGCTTTATTTTTGCTTCTGATGTTGGTGGTGAATTCCCGTAAAATGCAGAAAGTGTGCAGGATACGGAATGCACCAATATGTCACCATCCAGCACAGGAAGCAGCAGGGCAGGACCTGGAAGAGATCCATTACTGGAGAATAGATTTAAATGAGGTTTCAGAGCTTGAATCATGACATGTGAAGAAATTAGTCCAGCACTGTGCTGCCAGGCACCCCAGCTCTCTGCTTGGGCTGCTGTCTCATGCTGAACACAAATACACTCTGGAGATACCTAATTTCTATTGCCCAAGAGATTGGATCTCTCCTGGATGGGCCCACAGATGTCCTATGGGAGAAGTTCAGTCTATCTGGTCTCCTGAGCCTGCTGAGGCTTCAGACATGATCTGAGGATCCAGACTGGATTTCCAGACATGTTTTGTTATGTGTCTTTGGAGCATAATTTATCCCTGGTAGCAGGTTTGTGTTTGTCCACCTGCAGTGGTTTAGAGTGGCACCCACTTTTGTCATAACACACCAGTCCATGGAGCACTCTCCTGGCACACAGGTGGTCTGGGTTCAGTTCTGTCCTTGCTTTGTGAGGGTGAGAGTTTGGATCCACATTTTCCTTATCTCAGAAGAACCAGAGACATAAAGATGGAGCTGCATAGGATCTAGAAAATATTTTCTCTTGATACCATTAGGAAAGGTCCATGTCTCTTGCTGAATGCATTCCATCAGAGTCTTCACAAATGCAGATGGAGGGAAGGTGACAGCTCCTTCGTGAATGAAATGGCCATAAATCAGCAGCTCCTTGCTCTTGGACCAGATGTCACCACAGTGGCAGTCACTGCTGAAATGTGGGGTTATCTGACATGCTACTGGAAAGGACCAAGATTTGGAACTGCACAACCACATAGACCTGCTGGCCAACCTCTGCCAGGGCAAAGCTCAGCCTGTCTTCCCAAAGCTCTTCCCAGCCTTCCTGCTGCTCTCTGCAAGCATTTGCAACCTGTGAATAGGACTAGCACTGCAGTTTTCTGAGCACGCCCTTTTTCTGTAAAATCCAAGTGTCTCATCCTCTGCAAATGTCCTCTCTCCATTGCTCATTATGTCTAGCCAGGTGGAGAAGCCCTCAGGGCTGGCAGCTGGGTCTGATGGCCTCAGGGAAAGTGTGTCATGGAAATATGCACAGATGACAGAAGAATAGGGAAAAGCAATTGCAATGTGCTAACACTCCCTCAGGGGCTGTGAACAAAAATAAGATAAAAGACAATGCCAGACCTTTCTCGTGACATTTTGTACCCCAGAAGGGTTGGGGTGGGGGAGGAGCAGCCCCTGGTGCAAGTACCCCAGTGAGATGTGGTTTGGGAAAACTGCCTGTCCAGGGGCCTTTTTCCATCTGCTGTGCAGCCGTGCTGGTCTGTGTCCCTTCACTGCTTGTCATGTCCCCTAGACCAGGCTGAGTTGGCCATGGTATGGCAGAGCTGCAAGGCCTGACCAGGCCACCAGCTGAGCAGTGTCCCAGAGCAAGGCAAAGTCATCACCTATCAGGATTCTGGTGGTGTGGTATTTCTGGGTTCTATGTTTCCCACTGAGTCTACAAAGACCCAAAAGGAAGGTGTTGGGGGAGCGTGTTTGCATGACTAAAGAAGGGAATAACTGAAGTGTCTTTAATTTTCAAGGAGGGACACATACAGTGCAAGTTAATTTTCAAGTATTTTTTAATAGTCTCTGTAAAGATAAATGCACCTCTGAGGGGAGATTTCTCTACCACCACTGTTGAAGACACACACATCTCTCAGTTACTGCACAGAGAGCCTGGAAGGTGAATTTGGTCCAGTTTCTCCATTTCCTTGTGTGCACATGGGTACGTAGTGCCCATCCAGCCACCTTAGGGCTCCTAGACATCTGTATGGGTCTGACAGATCCAACACAGGACCCAGGATAAACCCGTCCCCTTCCAGAGAGGCCACCCAAGGCAAGGCTGGATATCATGGTCAGCTCAGAGAGCACCACTTGCCTTTGTTTGGACAGCTGAACCTAGCCAAGGAGGCTGCACTTTTACATTGTTAAAGCTGAGTCAACACATCTGTTCTGGATCTTGACAATTCGAATAATGGGTGGATTGAAATTGTTCTGAGATGCATATTTATTTTTCTACATTATGTCCTACTTCTTCTGTTTGATTTCCTCTTTCCCTTGCAGTTCAACGCTTCCAAACACTGCAGCACAAGTGAAGATGGCTCCTCAAAGGAGCTTGTATTTCTGTTATCTCCGTATGTGCTTCCTCAATAGCAACACTACTTTGGCTTATTGTTAGAAACTTCCTTCTCTGGACATGTGATCTAGTTCATTTCACAGCTGAGACTCCTCCAGTAGGATTTATGGCTCTGTCCAGGCACACCATGTTCCCTCTACATTGCTGGAGCAGGGCAGCCTGAGCAGGAGCACGATGGCAGGGTGAGAGCGGGGCACAGCCCGGCCGCTGGCTGGCGTTGGCTGCAGCACACCTGGTCTCCTTCCCCAGCTCACAGATTTACACAATAACACCATAGTCTTCCCATGGATATAAATGCTGCCAGAAAGTAAGGGCTAGAAATATACTTCCTACAGGTATCACAGAATCATAGAATAGCGAAGTGAGTAGGTTGGAAGGGACCTTTAAAGGCTGTATAGTCCAATTCCCTGCAAAGAGCAGGGACATCTTCAACTAGAACAGGTTGCTCAAAGCCCCATCCAACTTGACCTTGAACACTTCCAGGGATGGGGCATGGGCCTCCTCTCTGGGCAACCTGTTCCAGTATTTCACCAATTCCATTGTGAAAAACTTCTTTATATCTAATCTTTTAGTTTAAAACCTTTCCCCTTTGCTCCATCACTGTGTTCCCTTGTAAGAAGTCCCTTTCCATCTCTTTGGAGCCCCTTTAGCTGCTGGGAAGTGCTATAAGGTCTCCCTGGAGAGCAAGCCCAGCTCTCTCAGCCTGTCTTCATAGGAGAGGTGCTCCAGCCCTCTGATCATCTTTGTGCCCTCCTCTGGACCCACTCCAGCAGGTCCATGTTGTATCCTGAGCAATTCCTCCAAGTGTCAGCTGGGTCAGCCCTCACCACGTCTCCACACACTCGTGTGTTCAGGTGACTTTGCTGTAGGTCAGTGTGTATGGGAGGAAGAATTCCAGCTGTCCTTTTGCTTTGCAGTTTTCATACCACTGAAAGGTTAATGGGGCCAAATGCCTCCCTGATTGTCAAATACATGGGCAAAACACGAGGAACACAGCTAGTGCCTTTGAAACTTAGAGCTGGAGGAAGGCTGGTGAGTCACCAGCATCTGTTCTCAGCAGGGCCAGCTGTGTGAGA